TCTTGCTTTTGCGGATGATCTAATTCTTTTTTGTGATGCATCGATTGATCAAGCTTTTTGTATGAAAAATTGCCTAGATAGATTTTGTAGAGCTTCCAGAAGAAAAGTGAGCTATGAAAAGTCATGTGCTTTTTCCTCGAGCAACACAGATGGAGATGTTCGACAGGCTATTTGTGATACTTTGGGAATGACTTACACAGAAGATATGGTACGTTACTTGGGAGTACCAACTATTAATGGAAGGACTACCAAGCAAGACTACCGGTACTTGATTGAGAAGATAAATTCGAAATTAGCCAGCTGGAAATTGAAAATTCTTTCGCTAGCAGGTAGGAGTACATTGGCACAGGCCTGCCTCTCTTTAGTGCCGTATTTTACTATGCAAACTACAAAGCTTCCTAAGGCTACTTGTGACGAGATCGATAAGAAGACTAGGAGTATTCTTGTGGGGTAATGATGAAGAGCACAGAAAAGCTCATCTTGTGGCCTGGGAAACCGTCACTAAATCAAAAAGTGAAGGGGCTTTGGGCCTTAGATCGCTGAGACAAGCTAACACGGCTATTTTTAGCTAAGTTAGGATGGAGGGTTCTCACTGAACCTAATTCGCTTTGGTCTCGTATTTTGCGCAATAAATATTGTGGTGGAAGGTGTGATCTCAAAATGTTCAAGGTGAAGGCGGATGCATCTAATGTTTGGAAGGGCATTGTAGAGAATGTTGATGCTCTCAAGTAGGGAATAAGCATGGCGGTGGGTAGTGGTGATAAAATTGCATTTTGGACGCATCGCTAGGCTTCCTCTGAGACCTTGTATGAATTGGCCAACCCAAAGCCACCTTTGGAGATGATTGAAGATCCAGTTTGCAATTACTGGGACTTTAATTCGGGGTGGAGATATGAATTATTTGGGAATTTTTTGAATGCTGAGGTGCTGGAAATGGTAGCTTCTCTTGAGGTCTTAAATGATGAAGATCTGATTGATGGCCTTCATTGGAATGGCAACCCTTCCGGTGGTTTTACTATCTCATCTGCTATCAAGATTATTAGGAACAAGGAGGAGGTGCCTAATCGTGAAAGCCAAGGCTGGAAGGCTATTTGGAGAGCTCGTGTGCCGCAAAAAATAAGAATGTTTACTTGGATAGCAGTTAGAGATAGGCTCATGAGTAATGCTATTCGGTTTACTCGCAAGATGACTAATGACCCGAGATGTGGAGTGTGTAGAGCAAATGAAGAGAGTGTTAATCACATTCTACGGGTATGCCCCGCTACGATGATGGTGTGGAGAAGGCTTGGGTAGGATGATAATATGATCTACAATTCTATGCTGTGTGGAGAATGGATCATGTTCAACATTGAAACTAGGCAGTCCCTTGAAGGAGAAGCTCGAAAGGTAACATTTATGGTTACTTGTTGGTGGTTATGGCGCTGGAGAAATGAGAAAATATTTTCTCAATCACCTAGCATTCCTCCAGATCAAGGTGCTTTTATCATGGCTAGAATTTTGGACATCAATCGTGCGATGGACATCCCTCTTTTGTATAATCCAGGTGGCTCAGGGAGAAGGGTAGAGAAGTATATTCGTTGGGAGTTGCCTTGTGTGGGGTAGGTGTGCCTTAACACTAACGGAGCTTCGAAAGGAAACCCAGGCCAACAGGTGCTGGAGGTTTAATTAGAGGCTGCAATGGGGAAATTTTCGAGGTGTTTGGTACCAACTGTGGCATATGTTCGAACAACAAGGCTGAGTTTCTTGGTGTGCTTCGTGGATTAGCAATAACTTAGAATGCTGGCCATAGACTTGTTCAAGTGTCCTTAGATTCGGAGTTTGCTATCCAAATGTTAGTTGAGCCTTGCCCCAACTAACTCTCCTTTCATTAACATCATTCGCAAATGCAAATCCATGATTGCACGAGAAGGTTGGAAAGTGAAGATAAGTCACTGCTATAGAGAGGCTAACCGGGCTACGGACTGACTAGCTAATTTTGGCGTCAACTCGATGCAGAAGATGGTCATCTTTGAGGAGATCCCAGAGGATCTACGGGCCGTTTTATTGGAGGATTTGAGCGGAGTTGCTAGAGCTAGACTTGTTCCCTTGGACAAGGCTCAGTTCAAGTGTTTTATTTTGTTTTTTCGTTTTTGTTTGCTTTTCTTTTGTTTTTAGTTTTTTGTTTGTGCTTTTGCTTTGTTTCGGGCTTGGTTCCCTCTCTTTCACCAAATAAAAAAAAGGATATGGTAAGAGTCCAAGTGTCCAAATATATAAATAAAAATTAGACATAACTAGTTATTGGCCTGAGCGATGCTCCGGGTCTTTATAAATTTATTACTTTAATCGAACTATATATATTTAGGGTTTTTTGTCACTGAGAGCTTAAAAGGTGGTTTTTTTTTATTTTTATTTTTTTTATTTTTTATTAAAAATGATAGCTTAAGTAGTTTGTTGTTTGTATGAGCTGTTTTGACTATAAGAATAATTTTTTGAATTAATAAATGTAGGGTAAATGATAAATCAATCCGTTGTGGAAAAAAATATTTGATAAATCAAATCTGTATAAATTTGATGTCAATATATATACTACTCCATAATGAACAAAAAAAATTACACTATAATAACAATTGTAAAATATATATAAATCAAATCTTTGACTCTATAATTACAATTTAATGAATTAATTCACAAAAAAATGGAGTAATGTTTAATTTCTTATAAATTTTATTAATGTGCAATTATTAAGGAGTTACATTCCAAGGGAAATTTCAATAGGGTGTTATGCATATGAAGAGATTTCCAATTAAACTAAACATTAATACATGGAGGTTAATGCATGGAATTTTTCAATCATTAATGGACTAATATGATGTGGCGTCACATCATATGCCAAATGGCAAAATTGTTGACACATGGCAAAATAACATGTCTTGTCATGAGTTTTAATAATTTTAATATATATATTGATGTTGATTGATTATATATGTGTCCAACATGGCACTACATAGGTTAATGTGTGCTATGTGTGTCAGAGTTGAAAACCGTATATCCATTACAATTGAATGGTGTGTCCGTGCTTTGTAAGCTTAAAGGACTAAATCGTGTGGCGCACACTTGCCTATTTATCGACAACGATGCAAGCGTTAGTTGGGAACGTGATTGGGAGCACATAGCAACACAGATGACATATGACTTATGAGATAAAACTCTTTCCTATTGGCGATAGAAACGGGACATGTAGGTTTTTGGGGTCAGTGACGGTCGAGCTAGTCAAAGCGAACACAAGCGGGTTTGAATCACCGAGTTTCTTGTAATGTCTAAAAAGATAAGATGATTTAATACACGCAGCGACACACTTTCGAAATATCTACCCACAACAACACATAAACATAAAAGCAAGAGGCAACACTGAGTAGGGAACGAGTAATTTTTGTCCAATGATGGCTCTAGGGAGGCACCATGCGCATGATATGCTTCACATATATGATATATGCACCCTTTTACCTCTAGGTCCTTCTTTAATGCCACTTCTCTTCGTTGCCACTTATATATTACTAAAGAATCATCATATTCTCAATTTGAATAGGCAATTTCGCTACTTAATAATCATTCATTTGATAAAATACTATGTAGTAATATATAATCATTCATTTGAATCTATGATAACCAAAATTTGTGTGCGGTCCAAATTTAGTATAATTATTTGTATCATATGATTAACAAATATTATTTGATGTGCACACGAATACCATATTTTAGACTATAAAAATTAAAAATAATTGCATCCCACTTGGTCCACCCCTACACCACATGTGCTTCCCTATCTTCTAATTTATCAAATCCATTGAACTTGATAAAATACAACAAATTTACAATTTTCTAGAATTAATTCATGCATTTTCAAGGTACATTGAATTCACCTTTCTATCATTTTACTATAATTATGGTGACATTTTTCTCTAACTAAATTATAATCATCTTTCTCTAACTAAATTATAATCATCTTTCTCTCTCTACCCCTTTCTCTCTCTAGAAAATTAAAAGAAAAGTTAAGTTAGCAATATAATGGGATCAGAAGAAATATGTTTGTGTATTGCAATATCAATAATGGGTTTTATTTATTTGATGTTGCAAATGTTGGAGTATCAATGGAGTTACTCTGTTGCTTTCTTGCTTCATGATTCTTGTAGTTTCCCACCTATTTTTTGTCCTCCTACATGGGCTCACTTTTTCGTTCCCGTCAATTTCACAACAATCGATCGTGAAAAGATGTTAATAACAAGTTATGTAGTCGTAAGGATGAGCGACTAGGACGACGACAACAACAACAATACATCGCGAATCTGGCTATGAGATAGCTAGGGTTTGAAATAGTCGAGATATTTAAAAATTTCGTCTCGTGAAGAGAGGTTCTTTTGAATTGATATGTACTTCGTAGAATATATTCCCGTTGTTATGTGTATTAAGTCTACTTACGGGTGATTGGTAGTATTAGTCTTGTTGTTGTACAATAGATATTGGTCATAAGGTAATGCATGTGACTAATTGGATCTTATGAAGGAATCAAATTTTAGTAGATTTTGCTACATTACAACTATGTAATTGTATGTTGGTGATTATGATATTAGTACATTGTATGATTGTCGTATTGATACTATACACGTACAACTATTAAAAATTGTTATAATTGAATTGGCATAACATATTTGTAGTAATAAATCATGTTAAAATATAAACTATTTATGTCCCGTATAACATGCATCACATGCTTATTGTTACAAATACACAACTATAATAATTAATATCTTTAATTATTTACTTCAAAGTGATAAAAATTAAAAAGAATTAATATTTTGAAACTACACATTAAAATAAACCGATCATCTTCGTTTTCCTATATTAGTAAAAAAAAAATTGATCAAAGTGGATTTTGTATGTGTACAAAAATTCAAATAATGTAAACCATTTGATAATATGATTGGAATAACAAAATGGTGAAAGCAAGGCGGATTGAAGAAAACTTATTTTTAACAAAAGAGTCACTAAAAGGAGTATTAAAACAAGTCAAACTTAACAAATTGAATTTAAAATGGACAACTATTGTGAGACAAAGTCACAAAAAGATGAGTATGTAACAGCTTTCAAAAAACAATGTAAAACAAGAAAACCTAATCAAAAACACCTAACAACATTGTAACCAAATTATTGTTAATAACACAAAAATGTCTAAATTCAAACAATTTCCCTAGGAAAAAGGAAGGCTTCCAACTTCATATAGATGTCACCAACCATTTACATAAAAATATATCCTCTCATTTTCTCATCCGTTTTTTTTCTTTTTCTTTTTTTTTTTTTTTCCTCCTCTTTTTCTTTAATTTCCTCTTTTTCATTTTTATACCATCACAAATTTTCTCCATTTTCTCTTCCTCTTTGTCTTCCTTTTAACCTAAATCTATTTCCTCCTTCAAAAACAAAAGAAAAAAGGTCTTTAAACTTATAGACAACCTTCCCTAAAAATGGGAGGTTGCATTTCAACATTCCCCCCTAATGGATCAAGACACCTAAGAAGAAAAGGCGATGTCAAGAATGGCTCGAAGAGATCCCGGGGCTTACCGGAGGATCACAACAACGTGCCAGGGAGGAAATCAAGGTCATCAACCACCAACTCGAGGTTGATCACCGTGTTAGGAGACTCATGCATAGGGAACAACATAAAACAAAAGTACGCGTTTGGGAAGGAGTTAGGAAGGGGGGAGTTTGGGGTGACCTACCTATGCACGGAGCTTGATACCGGGGAGAACTACGCTTGCAAAACGATATCGAAGAGCAAGCTTAGGACGGAGGTTGACATCGAGGATGTTCGAAGGGAGGTTGAGATAATGAGACATTTTCCTAAGCACCCTAATATTGTTGCATTTCAAGAGGCTTATGAAGATAAAGAGGCTGTTTATTTGGTCATGGAATTATGTGAAGGTGGTGAGCTTTTTGATAGGATTGTTTCTAGGGGACATTATTGTGAGAGGGCTGCTTCTCAAGTTGTTAGGACAATTTTGCAAGTCGTTAAGGTAATTCGTGTGTGATGAAATACTACCTCTGATCTGTTTAGAAATAGTCGCATCATTTTTAAAATGCACGTATGATAATGCATGTTTGTAAAATATGCGCGTATTTGATTTTGAAAATTCCGAATTGTAATGAATTGTTTGTATTGTTACATGTAGGTTTGCCATGCACATGGAGTCATACACCGGGATCTCAAGCCTGAAAATTTCTTGTTTGCGAACAAAAATGAAAACGCTGCCCTTAAAGCAATTGATTTTGGGCTCTCCATTTTTTTCGAGCCGGGTATTTTTATAAGCATGAATTACAAACATCTGCATATAATTTAGGAAAAATTGGCCTTATTCGAATATTGTTAAAACTATCTTCATTTTGTTTTCAAATTAAATTTTCTTATTATATACGGAGTATTTTGTATTTCTAATTTTTTATGAATTACTAAGGTATAAATGTAAATGGTTTTAGGTCAGCGATTCAACGAGATTGTGGGAAGTCCATATTACATGGCACCTGAAGTTCTAAGAAGGAATTATGGACCCGAGATCGATGTATGGAGTGCAGGCGTTATCCTTTACATATTACTTTGTGGAGTTCCCCCCTTTTGGGCAGGTGATTTTCTTAGCCTCGTTTAAATCGATGACATTATCTATCAATAATCACGTAGATAGTACATTTGGAATTGGTGATGTGACTACTAAGTCTAGACAGATGTAATTTAATTTTAAATGATCACAAGCATATGTAGACTAACATGGTTCAACTTTTCTACACATGTAGAGACCGAAGAAGGAATAGCACAAGCAATTGTAAAAGGAGTGATTGATTTTGATAGAGATCCATGGCCAAGAGTATCTCCACTAGCAAAGGATCTTGTAAAGCATATGCTTGATCAAAATCCTTACAGTCGAATGACTGTCGATGAAGTCCTAGGTAAGGCTTTTTAATAGTCTTGTTCAAACATTGAAAATGATTTCAACTAGTAATGTAACAATTAAATCCAGATGGATGTAGTAAGTGTGTTGAGATAGTCATCCATCGAATTGAATAACTTCAATAATGTTTACTAAATCTTTTGATGGTTTTTTCTACACGTGAAATGAAGAACACCCTTGGATGAAAAATGCCAACAACAATGCCGATGTTCCATTAGGCCATAATGTGAGAACAAGGATCAAGCAATTCTCCTTAATGAACAAATTCAAGAAGAAAGTTTTGAGAGTAAGTACTAAAAACCTAGTTTGTACTCCTACGTGTTTATGCTATCACTTTGTACAAAGATAATCAATTACAATAAAACTCCCGAGGTGATAAAGGTTTAGATGATAAAAAGTTCCTACACTAATTGACTCACGATCCCATATAATTAGTGTGTAAACCTAATCATAAAAATGCTAATCCGTAAATAATCACCTCAGGCTTAAGATACTTTGAATAGCGCGAAAAAAGAAAAAAAAAATTGAGTTTATTTTTGTTGAATGTAGGTTGTAGCAGATACTTTACCAGATGAACAAGTAGAAAAGCTAAGAAGAACTTTTAATATGATGGACACCGATAAGAACGGGAGCTTGAGCTTTGAAGAGCTCAAACAAGGCCTTCTTAAGCTTGGACATGTTCTTCCTGATTCCGATGTTCAAATGATCCTAGATGCTGTAAGTTTTTCGTTATATAGATGTTAATCCGTAAATAATCACCTTATAATTCAAGTGTACGAGACTATGATTGATGGAGTTCCGTTAGTATTACTATCATTTAATACCGCTTATCAAACAAGTCGTAAAACCTTATTGTATTCTCTTCTAATTCGTATAGGCGGATTTGGATGGGAATGGAACCTTAGATTGTGGAGAATTCTTAACACTATCAATCCACCTCCAAAAGATGGGTGATGACGAACATCTTCAACGCGCTTTCAAGTACTTTGACAAGGATCATAGCGGCTACATTGAGTTTGAAGAGTTAAAAGAAGAGTTGCTTTCAGATGATGCCAATGAAGGTACCAAAAATGAGCAAGTCATACGAGATATTCTTTTCGATGCAGACTTGAATAAGGTAATCTTCCTCCTCATATACACCTAAAATAGTAACCAACGAGGCATTGGCCTAGTGGCAAAGACTAAATACCTGTGTACGAAATGCAGGATGGTCGAATAGACTACAACGAGTTTAAAGCTATGATGCACAGTGGAATGGATTGGAAGATGTGTTCTCGTCAATACTCAAAGGCCATGTTTAACAAATTGAGCACCAAGTTGTTCAATCATTCTGGGCTATTAAAATGACTTTCAGATCTTGTAGCTTGTTTGTTAATTTTTGATGATCCCACATTGTATTTTTGGCCTGCTCTTCCACCATACAGGTACATAACAAAGAGGAATAGATTTATGTAGTAAGAAATTAGAGATAATTAATCACGCATTATGGATTTCGTGATGCTTGTACTTATCTAATCAAGGTTCAGAAGACGGTCATTCAATAGCTGCTCCAGACCTTGGTATAAATTGCTCAAACTCTTAATGACGCAAAATGAATAAAAACATAATCCAAAACAAGGGGGATAGCAATTTACGAACTCTAACATGATAAAGATATAAAGATCAATACATTAGACATAATAATACGCTACGTTCATCAAACAAGGTTCTATGGTAGTAGGCTATAACCCACCTGAGATAGGATCTTGAGCTGAGCCAGAGTTTCAGCAGTTATTTAAATAGATGTTTTGCAGAAAATTCACAATCGTTCTACACATTAAAACGATGGTGCATATAAAAGTATATATAGTGTGATATTTACCAAAAAAACGTGTATGTGTCATAAAGCTGTTACTAATTCTATTAGCAAGAGTTCGTTTTGAAGAGTGCTACCAACACATCAAGATGTTTGCCCTCAGCTATTGCTGCTCTGCTCTGAATCAAATCAACTATTAAGCGTAGGGAGGAGGATCGGATTATAAGTGTCCCTCCTGTGAATCCCTTGTTGCATTGTTGGCTGCACGGCCCTGCACCTTCTTGAACACAAGCTCTAGCAAGTCTGAAACTAATGAAGCATGCAAATTGCAGTAGCCATCCAACTAAGCAGTTTAAATGAAATGCAGGGAATAAAATGGGAATCATGAAGTTTTTCTGCAGACTGCTGACCAACCGTCTTCATTAGACACTGCTATTCAAACCTATGTTATTGTTGACAGATAAAGATAAGTTAGATAACCCATGCCTTCTCATAAAAAAAAAAAAAAAAAAAAAGCATATTCAGGAGTTAGGACAGGTGACATTTCATCCCAAACTGAGCATGACCAGGACCACAGAAGGATTGGACCAGGACAAGCAGGCCAGTCCCATGTTCTGCTCTATGTAACTGTAGTACTTTGCATGATCAGGGTTCAGGGAGTTGGTAAAACTGCATACATCAATTTGAAAGTAATTTCATTGTTGTATTGACCAACATTTTCTCCAAAAATATAAAAATCATTACTTGAGTAGAAATTGTTAATGATGAATGCATAAGAGCAATGGCATAAATCGACTAAAATAAAATAACAAAATGGGTATCAAGTTGTTAAGCAACATCAATAATCAAGAAGACGAATAAGAAATACCTGGTTATGAGTCAGAAATTGCAGTATACAAATTCTGGTGCAAATGTAGGGGCAAACACCTCAACAACTGATGAGTGAATGCATCAAATTAGCCAGTTAGGTTTCTCATAAATATGCACATCCTCAACAGAATTAATATAATCCAGCAACTGCTTATAGCTTGAGCTACACACTGACAGAGGAGAGACCGAGAAAGATAAAAATAACTACCACTATCGTATGAACATCCTAATCATTAATTATGTGCAGATTTTTACAGATCGATAGTGTCACCATAGCCAATAAAGAGGCCAATTATGTTATATCCTTGCTATAGCCAAGCTTTCTAGTAATATACAGAGAGATATAATATTACAACCTTTCTGCAAACTCTACTTTGCAAGTAGTCTTGTAATGCCCTGTTTGGTTACACTTACTACAGCGAACAGCATGCTTCTCCCGGTTTATATCATAGGTACAAATTCTCTTTTTCTCGGGCCTTCCCGGAGGGCGACGGAACTTGGGTGGTCGGACAACTTGCATCTCTTCATTTACCAGAATCTGGCCAGGTCTCTTCAATTCAATTTTCCTGGGGATAGGGTGCAATTTGGGCATATATGTCTCCCGAAAGTTCTCAACAGTATAATATTTTACTACGAAAGCATATGGATCTTTTTTGCAAGAAAGAAGCGCTGCAACTGCATGGGAACATGGGATTCCATATAGCTGCCAATACCGACATGAACAACAATGAGTTCCAATATTTACAATATCTGATCGGTCAGCTGATATGATTTCAAATTCAAATTCATCAGACTGAAGGGCTTGGTAAGAGGACGCCAAGTTAACGGCTTCTTCCAACTGTTTTTCAGCAGAGGGGGCTAAAACTGATGTCCATGACTTACTCTTAGAACATCGCTCTTCAAACATGGTTGTCAGTTTGCTGTAAATCTTCTCAATCACCTGGATAACAGGCAGTTCGCATGCTTCTGTAATCCATTTATTGAATTCCTCAACATTTGAGGAAAAATGTCCATATCTTTTCCCATCAAAATACAAAAGTGCCCAACTATGAGGAGGATACTTTTGCAACCATTTGGCTGCTTCAGTAGACATGTCCTCAATTTCTGCCAACTTGTCTTTAAAAGTAAGTATACTAGTTGCATAAGCAGCTTGCCAGAGAAGATGGACAAGTCTGGAATTTTTGAACTCCTTGCCAATACTTTCAGTCAAGTGACGCATGCAAACAGCATGAAATGAGCTAGGGAACTTTCGATTTAAAGCATCTACTATACCCTTTGATCCATCTGACAAAAACGTAAATTGTGGCATACTCTGAGTATTCATCTCTAGCGCTTTATGTAACTCTGACAAGAACCACATCCAGCTCTCATCATTATCCATATCAACAACAGCAAAAGCAAGGGGGAACAGCCCGCCATCAGCGTCAAAAGAAGTGGCTGCCAATAGGGTCCCAAGATATTTGCTCTTAAGCTGTAACCCACCAAGCCCTACTATGGGTAAGCAACCATTCAGGAACCCAAAAATGGATGCATAAAAAGAAACAAAGAGACGTTGAAACTGATTATCTGCACAAGCAGTATAAACCTCAGCAACAGTTCCAGGATTTGATTTCTTTATCTGATCGCAGAAGGAAGGAAGAAGGCAATATCCCTCTTCAGAAGAGCCATAAATTGCTTCAAGTCCCCGTTCCTTAGCACGCCAAGCTTGCTTGTAAGGTATTGTTATCCCATATTGTTTTTCAATGTCATGTGATATATCTTTTGGCTTGTAATTTATATTATCCCGCAGGCGCTCCTCTATGAAACGCACAATCCAATCAATAGAAGCCTGATGATGCCCATTCTGAGCATCGCAACCACATGTATGTGTAGGTTCCAAACTTCGTATAGTGAACTTGGAGGAATTCGAAATCTTTACAGCACGGATACGCCATGGACAATCTCCAATAGAACATTTTGCAATATAACGAATTAAATCACTTTTGATTACACGTAGCTCAAAGTGCTGTGCAATAGCAGCCTCTTTAATTGCATTTCGGAAAGCCTTGACATCAGGAAACTCCTGACCAATGAAAATCTTGTGTTCTTCCATGGAATTCCTAGATCCTTGAGATGAACCATGTCACAATGACAATAGGCCAGCAAGAAGATCACCTATTAGAGTAACAACTAACAAGGATATCGAAGCAGCTCCCATTTATCCATCAGTGAATCAGCATTAAGACCTTCAACTTGAAACTGGAAAAAAGAGATTTGGCAGACGAGTTTCTGTAGAATTTAATAACTTTGCACATGGATGAAAAACAAGGCTCTCAAAGTAATAATTTTAAACTAGCAACAAAACTACAACAACAACAACCCTATAGAAAATTATTCAAAAGATGGGTACTTGATGAATGGAGGATTAGACACCAGTTAAAAGCTGATAAACTAAATGCAAGAGACCCACAAAACCTATTGCAGCACTCAGAAACCTAGCCTAAACTTTGGTGTTGTCCTTGAAAAATGTATATCACAACATTGTTCGGTCCTCAATGATTGGAAGCATTGTAGCGAGTTACAACTTACAAGACACGTTTTTATTACCCAAGAGATGCATTAACTCATCATAATACTCATACAATTCATATTAGCCCGTATTCCCCAAGTCTAGCCCTTATAATCCAAATAGAAATTGCAATTTTTACTTCATACAAGATCCAAATTCCAAATGATGGGAAATTCTACGACTTCATCAAACTGGTCCCAACTCACAATTCAAAGTACCCCCTCCTTACATTCTCACTAACAAACCCGTAGAGTACTGTTGTGTGAAGTTGAAGGCGACTCATTTTCTAAATCACTTATGAACGGTAAGTTGAAAGCCAATTCTAAATCATACTTTTTTTTCAAACTTAAATCATCAAAATTCAATTAGCTCCTAAACAAATTGACACAATTATGCATGATCCTCAGAGAATATAAAAACTGTGACAATCAACAAGACAAACTGCTACAAAACCCATAGTACTGTACCAAGGTATGTGGACTGGCTATGTAATTTAGGAAATTTAGTCAGCCCCAAATCTTCAAACTCAGACCTCAAAAACCCGAACATGATGGATAATCTATATTAGAACGACAAGATAACAACATTTAGAAGATTCATTCATCCCCAAATCAGAAATATCATAATTGATTAACATTTTAATCAAATTTGTTATCCTCATTGAAATTACTCGAGCATATTTAACTAATAGCAATGATCAAAACATATAAGAAAACAAATTTACTTACACAAACACCTCTAATTAAGCTTAATAATCTAGAAATCAAACAGGATCACACCCTAAAAGATTAAAACACCTATATCCAAATCTCATAGCTAAATTGCAGGTAAAATTTTAAACTTTTTGGGTAAAAATTGAATTTGGGTATTTCCCAATTTCAAAATTAAATCACTAAAATGACAATTAATAGCAAAATTACAAGTCTAAATCAATAATTTCCGTAGCTAAATATTATTGGAGACCCAAAAAAATGATTAAATTAATGATTGATGCCCATTAAAATTAAAAATCCGAATTTCAAGAAATTTTAAGCAACTTTAGTGTTAAATGAAAGGAGAAAATGAATTAGCAGGATTAAGGGAGAAAAAAGACGAACCTTGTAAAAGTTGAAGTTGCAGATGGTGGGAAGAGCAGGAGGTTGCCCAGTGAGACGACGACAACGTAACGAGTGAGTTGCTCTGATGGTGTTCAATTATGAGGCCGCCCCAGAGACCCAGATCCCCAGCTTCTCATATCAAGGAACAAAATTCGTTAATCAAAGGGTTAAATTTGTAATATTACATGTAAAATTGTTACTTGAAATAACAATATAGTACTGTAGTAGCAGTTTTAGGGGTAAAATCGTAGTTACATCAAAAAAAATGCAGAAATTCTTGTTTGGACCTGGTCCACAATATCTGAGATTTATATACACGCAGAACTAACGTTATTTGGAACATAGTGACCGTAATTTTAACATGATATCCTTATTTTTCAACATAGTAACCTTTATTAAAATTTGTGTGACCTTTAATGTTATTTCTTTTTACATCCCAAAAAATTTACCTCTTATAGCTTTTATAATGTCACAATCGCTTTTATTTTAACATAATAACCTTTATTTTAATGAAGTGATCTTTTTTTTATTAATAAAACAATCATAATATCTCTAATTTTAGTGGTCCACAATAAATTTGTGTGAACCAGATCTATTTAAGAATTTGTAAAAAAAAAAGGTTACTTGTACATTTAATTACAACTTTGTCATTTGAGAATCTTAGACTTTATCTTCAATTATTTATGACATCAACTTATTTAAAACTCCTTTTTTTTCCTGGTAAATTAGTTTATTTAAACTTGATTAAAGCATGCTCTCTTTGCAAGAACTCCCTCGAAAGAAAGGGTCGTTCTCTCTAGAGCGTAGGGTTTGGCTGCCGTTCCGACGACTCTTGTTTACTTTCTCCAGTGCTAGTTAGTGGCGAGTATGGCAGACGAGATAGCTGATCGTTATGCGAATTTGAAATTGGACGATGAGGATGGTGGAGTAGTGGATTTAGGGGTTGTTGATTCATTGCCCTTAACTGAGATTTCCATTTAATGCTCATTGAATTGGGCGATTGGCGTCTGATAAGCCTTACAATGTAGAGGCGTTCAAGAAATACGATGGTGAAGGTGTGGAATTTAACAAATAAATTGCTAATTCGTGCCCTAGGACCAAATCTTTATGCCTTCCAATTTTTCCATTAGAGAGATCGAGAACGAGTGCTTCAGGGGCGTCCATGGTGCTTCGACAATAAATTAATTGCTCTTAAGGAGATAAAGGGCAATGAACAACCAGACAAAATCTCCCTCTATCACTCACCGTTTTGGGTGAGATCGAATTAAAAATTTACCTTTTAATTGTCGGTCCGACGCAAATGTGAAAGAATTAGTGGCAAATTGGGGCGAATTGCTGGAATTGGAGGAAGATGTATTGGGTCTTGATCGATGTAGACATGCCAAAATTCTGATTAATGTTACCAAACCATTGCGACGTTCTAAGAGAATCCTTGACAAGGCTGGGAACATTATTTATGTGGAGTTTGTCTACGAAAGACTTCCCTTTTTCTGCTTTGCGTGTGGTGTCATAGAGCACGCTGAGAAAGATTGTTGTGTTGTTTATGAAGAAAGCAAGAAACAGAAGCTTGGTTGGGGACCCTGGTTGAGGGCTTCACCTAGAAAGGGGAGGCTGAAGGAGGTTGAGGAAGAGGAGGTAGTGATGGCGACTTGTAAGCAGTTGTTTGTGACCAAAGATTCTGTGAAAGAGGAGGGTAGTGCGACGGGGGGGGAAGAAGAGGGGCTTACTTTGGGAATCTCTTTGGGGAAAGATTCTGGAGAGCAGTTAGTGGTTGCTATTAATAATGTGGGGTAAGGGGAAGGGGATGGCAAGTTGGTGGAGTGCGTGACTAACTCTGCCCTTGAAAAAGGGAAAGACAAACTTTTTGTTTTTTTCTGCTGAAAATGAAAGTCATAAAGGGGGTAGGAAGAAGTACAGGAGGTTGGGTAAGAGTGTTGACACTTTTGATATTCATATAAGTTTGGAAGGTGAGCATGTGCTTGGGAAGAGGGAGGGAGAGATTGATAAAAATGCAGTGAGTGGGGATGTGAGGCATAAGAAATTGAATGTGGAAGGTGACTTATTTGGATTGTGAGTGGAGGAGGCTGTCAACGAGCAGCCCCGCCGAGCTCAATGAGTATATTGAGCATTAATTGCAGGGGGCTGGGCAACACCGCTGCAGTTAACAACCTTCGAAACTTAGTACGAAGGGAGGCCCCGTCTCTTATATTTCTCATGGAGACGAAGTTGAGTAGTGGCAAATTGATGAAAATAAGGTCTAAATTGATAGGGTACGAAGGTGTGCGCGGTTGATAGTTGTGGGAGATCTGGGAGTATAGCTATGCTGTGGTTACGGGATTTTGAGGTTGAGCTTAGATCGATGTTTGTTCATCATGTGGATGTACAGATAAAGAAGGGCATAGGAGAATTGGAGTGGAGTCTAACGGGTTTTTATGGGTGGCCGAAAGTTCAAAATCGATACCTCTCTTGGAAGATTTTAACTGAGCTAGCAAAGGAGAGTGGGGAAGCATGGTTTTTCTTGGGAGATTTTGATGAGATTTTTTTGGATTCGGAGAAGAAGGGTGGTCGAGATCGTGCTCTTTGGTAGATGGATAATTTTAGAGAAGCGGTTGATTCTTGTTGCCTTAAAGATGTGCCATTCACAGATTATGAATACACCTATGACAATAGGCAAATTGGAGATGACAATATACCATGTAGGCTTGATAGAGCTTTATCAAATCCTGGGGGCCTTTTGCTTTTTCCTAATGCTAATGTTGTGAATTTAGACCGGGAATGGTCCGACCACGCACCTATTAAGCTAATGATGGGTGAGGAGACTATGGCAAGGAAGAAGGAGAAGATTTTTCTCTTTGAACAAAATATGGACAGAGCATGATCATTGTGAGGAAGTTATTAAGCACGCCTGGCTGGTAAGGGGTAACTCGGTGGAGGGCAAGCTGGCTGCTTGTGCGGAGGAGTTGCGAGGGTGGAGTGACAGAGAATTTGGGAAAGTGTCGCAAGAAAAGATAGCAGCTCAATGTTCTAAATAGAGGAGGGCGTTCAGCATCACAAGTTAATGAACAGAGAAGAGTAGTTCGAGAAATCACGGACTTACTGCATTATGAAGAAGTTTATTGGCAGCAACGCTCAAGGGCAATTTGGCTTGCTTTTGGGGATAAAAATTCGAGCTTTTTCCATCATAAAGCTTCTCAACGCCGCTTAAAAAATGCGATCACTTCTTTAATTTCTGATGATGGTGTAAAGCACGAAGACTTGGAGGGAGTTTGCAAGGTGGCTGTAACTTATTTTAAAGACCTCTTCACGTCTGCTTCCCCGTCTGGTTTTGATGAGGCCCTAGTTGGCATTGATCGTAGAGTTACAAATGAGATGAACAGCAAGCTTGGAGCGGAGTTTAGGCCGGAGGAGGTTCTATAAGCTCTAAAACAAATGCACCCATTGAAAGCCCCGGGGCCGGATGGTATGTGTCCTCTTTTCTTTCAAACTTATTGGCATATTGTTGGCCCCTCTCTCACTTCTTTGGTTCTAGCTGTGCTTCATGGTGATGTTATTCCGGAGGATATTAATAAACTTTTAGGCAAATTGGCCTCAACACCCTGAACTATAGTTTGAGTGCATCCAACACTCTGAACTTTGACTAGTGGCTAAAACACCATCAACTATTGATTCGGGTGCAATGCGTGACATCAATGGGTATTTTTGGGCACTTAAACTGAGATATTTTGGTAAATTAAGAGTAATTGATGGCACGCGTTGCACCCAAATCAATAGTTGGTGGTGTAATATCTGCTAATCATAGTTCAGAGTTTTGGCTACACCCAAGCTATAATTTAGGGTGTTGAGGCCAATTTTACCTTGTCTTGATTCCGTAAAAGAAAGCCTCGGATAAAATGGTAGATCTTCGGCCAATAATTTTAGTTTGTGTAGCGTGGTGTACAAATTGATCACTAAAGTTCTAGCTAATCGTTTGAAGTCTATTCTGTCGGACATCACTTCTATTAATCAGAGTGCATTCATAGACTCATTACGGATAATATCCTTGTGGCATTTGAAGTCTTCCATCATATGGAAAAATTCCGCTAGTGAGAGGGGCGCTTTGGCCCTAAAACTTGATATGGCAAAGGCATATGATAGAGTTGAATGGAATTTTTTGAGAGCGGTGATGGTGAAACTTGGATTTACAGATTTCTGGATTTATAGGGTGATGCACTGTGTGTCTTCCATTTCGTTTTCAGTTTTTATAAATGGGGCACCTTCAGGGGAGTTTACTCCGTCTAGGGGTTTACGACAAGGTGATCCACTATCCCCGTATTTGTTTATTTTATGTGTTGAAGCGTTGTTTGGACTGTTGAATAGAGCGGTGATACAGGGAAGTCTACATGATATTTGGGTGGCCCCGTCGACTCCTTCTATTTTGCATTTGCTATTTGCGGATGATAGTATGATTTTTGCTAGAGCAAATGTAGCGGAGGTGGCTGCTATTTGTGACATTTTGCAGACTTATGAGGTTGCCTCGGGTCAGTTAGTGAACTTTGACAAGACGACGATCTCTTTTAGTAGAGGAGTATCAGAGTTAAGAAGAGGGGAGCTAGCTGGTTTGCTTAATGTGAAGGTAGTTGATATTCATGATAAGTATTTGGGGTTACCTACGGTTGTTGGAAGATCGAAGAGGGTGATTACGAAGGGTGTTAGAGAGAAATTGTGGAAGAGACTTCAAGGGTGGAAGGGGGAGGGGATGTTATCAAAGGAGGGTCGCGAAGTGTTGATTAAGGCAATTGCCCAATCTATCCCGGCCTATGCGATGAGTGTGTTTAAATTCCCCTCCTCCATTTGTGATGAATTGCGTTCTTTAGTGGCAAATTTTTGGTGGGGTCAACGGAAAGGGGAGCGAAAAATTCATTGGATAACATGGAAGAAATTGTGTGACCCAAAAGCAGTTGGAGGGTTGAGATTCCGAGATTTCCAGCAATTTAATGCCGCACTTTTGGGAAAGCAAGCATGGAGGCTTCTTAAATACCCGGACAGTTTGATTGCACGAGTTCTAAGGGCTCGTTATTATGAGGGGGGTGACTACTTGAGTGCAGATTTGGGGAGGTGTCCTAGCTATACTTGGAGAGGGATTTGGGGGGGCGTGAAATGGGTAGTTCAA